TATGAAAAAACACCTGTCATTGCAGTTAAATAGTCGCCCAATACGTCCAGGATTCCGCTCCGCCCTGCAATGGACAGTTTTCAGGAGCGCAAACACAAAAATTTTCAGGTTGAATCCGACCCTTTTTTTGGTCACCTTTGAAATCAAACTTTGATTGGGCGTACTAACCCAGGTAGACATTTTGGCTTGGGCGCCTCCCGCCATATGAAAAAACACCTGTCATTGCAGTTAAATAGTCGCCCAATACGTCCAGGATTCCGCTCCGCCCTGCAATGGACAGTTTTCAGGAGCGCAAACACAAAAATTTTCAGGTTGAATCCGACCCTTTTTTTGGTCACCTTTGAAATCAAACTTTGATTGGGCGTACTAACCCAGGTAGACATTTTGGCTTGGGCGCCTCCCGCCATATGAAAAAACACCTGTCATTGCAGTTAAATAGTCGCCCAATACGTCCAGGATTCCGCTCCGCCCTGCAATGGACAGTTTTCAGGAGCGCAAACACAAAAATTTTCAGGTTGAATCCGACCCTTTTTTGGTCACCTTTGAAATCAAACTTTGATTGGGCGTACTAACCCAGGTAGACATTTTGGCTTGGGCGCCTCCCGCCATATGAAAAAACACCTGTCATTGCAGTTAAATAGTCGCCCAATACGTCCAGGATTCCGCTCCGCCCTGCAATGGACAGTTTTCAGGAGCGCAAACACAAAAATTTTCAGGTTGAATCCGACCCTTTTTTTGGTCACCTTTGAAATCAAACTTTGATTGGGCGTACTAACCCAGGTAGACATTTTGGCTTGGGCGCCTCCCGCCATATGAAAAAACACCTGTCATTGCAGTTAAATAGTCGCCCAATACGTCCAGGATTCCGCTCCGCCCTGCAATGGACAGTTTTCAGGAGCGCAAACACAAAAATTTTCAGGTTGAATCCGACCCTTTTTTTTGGTCACCTTTGAAATCAAACTTTGATTGGGCGTACTAACCCAGGTAGACATTTTGGCTTGGGCGCCTCCCGCCATATGAAAAAACACCTGTCATTGCAGTTAAATAGTCGCCCAATACGTCCAGGATTCCGCTCCGCCCTGCAATGGACAGTTTTCAGGAGCGCAAACACAAAAATTTTCAGGTTGAATCCGACCCTTTTTTTGGTCACCTTTGAAATCAAACTTTGATTGGGCGTACTAACCCAGGTAGACATTTTGGCTTGGGCGCCTCCCGCCATATGAAAAAAACACCTGTCATTGCAGTTAAATAGTCGCCCAATACGTCCAGGATTCCGCTCCGCCCTGCAATGGACAGTTTTCAGGAGCGCAAACACAAAAATTTTCAGGTTGAATCCGACCCTTTTTTTGGTCACCTTTGAAATCAAACTTTGATTGGGCGTACTAACCCAGGTAGACATTTTGGCTTGGGCGCCTCCCGCAATATGAAAAAACACCTGTCATTGCAGTTAAATAGTCGCCCAATACGTCCAGGATTCCGCTCCGCCCTGCAATGGACAGTTTTCAGGAGCGCAAACACAAAAATGTTCAGGTTGAATCCGACCCTTTTTTTTGGTCACCTTTAAAATCAAACTTTGATTGGGCTTACTAAACCAGGTAGACATTTTGGCTTGGGCGCCTCCCGCCATATGAAAAAACACCTGTCATTGCAGTTAAATAGTCGCCCAATACGTCCAGGATTCCGCTCCGCCCTGCAATGGACAGTTTTCAGGAGCGCAAACACAAAAATTTTCAGGTTGAATCCGACCCTTTTTTTGGTCACCTTTGAAATCAAACTTTGATTGGGCGTACTAACCCAGGTAGACATTTTGGCTTGGGCGCCTCCCGCCATATGAAAAAACACCTGTCATTGCGGTTAAATAGTCGCCCAATACGTCCAGGATTCCGCTCCGCCCTGCAATGGACAGTTTTCAGGAGCGCAAACACAAAAATTTTCAGGTTGAATCCGACCCTTTTTTTGGTCACCTTTGAAATCAAACTTTGATTGGGCTTGGACAGTTTGGAGTCGCGGGACGCTGATCTCGCGCCCCGAGAAGCCAACGTCAGCAAAAATAGCAAAGAATTAGAAAAACATGGAAAAATGGACAAATCCCGCGAAATCCGATCCCTAAACCCGTATCCCGCATCCCGTCCCGAAAGACAATGATGATCCCGTGACCCTAACTTGCGTCCCCTAACCCTAACCCGCATCGCGCGCCCAAAATCCCCAAAACAGGAATGTTAAGGCTCATCCCGCAACCCTAACCCGTATCCCGCGACCCTGACCCGCGACCAAGCCGCGGCTAACCCGCGGTCATAGGGTTAGCTTCGAGTCAAGTTTGCTTGCGGTTAGGGTCAAGGGTTAGTTGGGAAAACTACTTCTGTGACAGCCTTTTGGCCGTCGGTCCCACGTATCCGGCCCAGAGTCCAGTCCGGGTCCGGAACGGCGAAAAAAAAAACATGGCGGCCGCTACACTTTGCCCGGTTTTTCCCTGTCAGCGCCCTTCGCTCTAAGTAAAGCACTGTCCGACTTGACTTCTACAATCCTTTCATCGTCGCAAACGCTACAACAACCCTCTAAGTCAACAGAAGATCGCGCGTGCCTGCACTTCTAGTTTTCCTAAGATCGATGGTCACTTTGTTGGCCAGCTCGCTCAAGTTAAATCGACGCTTTCCTGGGCCAAGCGAGTCCCAAAAATCGGGTCAAACGAGGCTTTCTCCTTCCTGTCCTACTTGCCTCGGGCTTGCTGTCACGCAGCGGCTGACGGCAAGCCCCGAAATACGGCCTTTTGTCACCTCATGAATTATTCATGAGCCACCAAATATTTTTCGACAGGGAAACCCCGGCCCCCCAAAAGCCAGAAAATATTATAAGTCTAAAAGCAGGTCGCTTCTCGGCAACTACGTCAAGCCAGCAGGCAAGGGCAGGCCGCAAAACTCACGCTGACATAGTTCCCGACAAGAAACCTGCCTTAGACTTGCCGCCTGGATCGATCTGAACTTGATGCACAACCTTGACTACGAGCGCTCAAACAGCGCTGTTGTGCTTTACAAGGCTCAGAACATCCCTCAGTTCTTCGAGGGATGCTGTTGACTTGCGGGTTTCCGGACTTAATGATGTCCTTCCACCACCAGGCGGCGCAAATTTTGCTCCAAACACGGCCAATACTTTATTTACAGCAATCCCGCCATATTCTTGAACCTTCCTTCGGCTGATACGTCACTCAACGTCACAATACGGCGCCCAGTCCCGCTCTGTTCAGTGCAAAAAACATGGCCGACGCATCGTGCCAACCTGTTAAGACTGAATTTTCCTGATTTTTCGCCTGCTCAAGACGCCAGGACGGAGTAAACGAGCGCTGCAGGGCAAGGTGAGCTTCCGAAAAGCTTGTTTTCTAACGTTTTTGCATCATTGCCACACTTTTGCGACGTTTTTAGTTGAAATTAGGCAAGGGTTGAAATTTCCACCAAAACACCCTTGAAGGGTTGGTTGGTGTTTTATCAAAACCACCCTTCTGTACTAACCCTAACATAAACCCTAGCGAAAAAGCCACGTTAGCTCAAGACCCTTGTATAATTTTGCATTTTCTGACAGGGTCGCACGTATTTAGCATCGTTACTGCAGTGATTTCCTGGTATTTATTATTTTTTGCAAGGTCACACTTGAGTCCAAACCCTAACCCTAATCCTAACACTTGAGGGCAAAATTTTAGCCGAAAAAAGTAGGTGAGGGTGGATTTGTTACTGAAACTATTCATTTGGAATGAATTTGCTTAAATAATAACCCTTACCACCTGTCTGGGTTAAACCTTGTATTTAGACTATAATGCACTGCTTTTCTTAATGAGGATTTGTCTCATTTCAATATGGAGGTTGAACCTTGGCAAAATAGAAAGTGTTCTAAAAAGAGATCTCAGACTGAGAACTGAAAAAAGAATTTGAATTTGTGTGTTCAGAGTTTTGTCGGCAGTCTAATCATTGTTCAATTCCTTTCTCTGAACCGCAAACCTTTTTAGCAAAATGCAGGTGAAAACAAAAGAATATTTTATTGCAGTTGGTTGGCAAGCTAGGAAAGTAAAGCTCCATGTATAGCGATGGTAGCCAGAGTTAAAGGAGACACTTTTGAATATGTTCTCACCTTTGGAGGCACAGCGACCTGCTTCCCTTTTGCGGCGGTTATTGAAAATAATATTATAGCAGTGGACAAGCACACATTTTCTTAACTATCATGTCAATTTTATTTTAAATGTTAACTTTTGGTGGTGCAGTATCACTGATCATCTTGTTACAAAATTGAGCAAAACTACCCATCATGGTTGTCACAAAAATGAATTTCTTCAAGAAACACTACTGCAGTACGTCGAGTATTTATCAACGGTTTGTGAGAAACTTTTTAAAAATGTTACAAACATAACATTTCTGGAACACTCTGGCCCATACTGAAGTCCAAAATGAACATACTAGTTAAAGTTCATAGTCTGACTTAAAAATTTTAAGTCAGATTTAATCTCTTCTCTCTTCCAGAGTTGGGTCTTATTGGAACACACTCCTGTCAATTTCTTCTTCTTCAGCGTGATCTTCTGACTGGAGAAACCACAGCCATTTGCTATTGGTGTCTGGTATGCACCTGCGACGGATGAACATCAGAGCTGCAATTTGGCTGCGGTGATCGTTGTGATGACCAATTGCACTAGCTATCTTAGACAGGTTACACCAGACATCGCCCCAACCTTTCTGCAACAGTAGGTGTCGTAGCCGTGGACAGAGCATGATTAGCATGCCAGTGTTTGCAACATATCGCAGTGTGGTTGTGCTACAACTTAGTATGTCTGCAAAGGCCCTGGAAAGTTGAATCCTTCTATCTTCAGGGAGGTCTCCAGTGTTCAAACATTCTGTGATGAAGGGTGCCAATTCTAGCATGGCAGTCAGGCGTTCATTGCGTTTTAAGCCAAGTGCAGTCATTGTGCGTTGGTCCAGCTTATTCATCAGCATGCAAACAGCACAGGTTTCATTCCTACATTTGCCTCTCACATTGGCGATATCTCCCCCTTCTTCCTGGCATAGACAGTATGGGCAATTTTGGTCTCCTTCATCCTGTGATTCTCTTGTGACTGGCTCTCCAAGGCAGGTGCAGTCCAACCGAGAAGCTGTCCAAACATCACACACTCGCTGCCGCACTATTTCTTCACGTTCATCTGTGTATACCCGAAGAGCTACAGTTTGTCTAGCCTCCCCCAAAGTTTGTGTGTCTGAAGATCTTGCCTCTTCTACCTAGGGAAAAAAAAAGAGTAACAGGTGAGTTGGATTGAATTAATTTTGTTGAATTCTAAACTGTTGAAGTACACAATTAAAGCTCTTCAGAATGGGGAATTTCAAGTTCATTCTTCAGAAAGTACTGTCAATGCATTTACCCGACTTTAAAGCACTAAGAAGTCTCCAATCCTACTATTTCCACTGGGTGCTTTGCATCAATGAAGTAAATGAAAAATAATAAAAAGTGCTTTACAAGTACAAGTAGTGAAAATTTAAAAAAATCAAAATCAGGTGAAAATTTTTTTACCTAGGTTCATTCTCAATTTTCCTTGTCTCTTTAACAGTTCAGATTGATTCTCAATTTCCTTTGTCTCCCGGCCCAAATTATTCATGAATTAGGGCTATGAACAAAGGAAAATCGAAAATCAGCCTAGGTAGAAACATTTTGACCTAGATTTAACTTTTACCTGTTATAAATACATCTCAAGATGATTTGTTTTCAGAGGAAATAGGATGCAAATTAAAAATTATGCATACCATGAGCAAATGCCAATCTAATATTTTTGAAGTTAGCACCTATCAAATCATTTTGTCAATCAATGTGCAGTTTTTTAATGTTTTTTAATTTTAGTTCACCTGCTGTGGGTTGCAAGGTTGGTTCTCCCGCAGGAACTTTTGAAGCCTGTTCAATGACTCAGTGTTGGGGATACGTGTTGCTACAATTCCTGGTAGTGCTAGCAGACGCTCGCGGGGGCTGGTTGGTGCTTGCGGCCGTGGTTCTTCATCCCTCTGTCTTTGGTTGTCGGAAGTTGGTGCTTCCACAGGAACCTGGGATTCTCCAGTCCTGGGTACAACACGTCTGGGAGTTTTCTGCTTTCTTTTTCGTACCATCCCAGAACTGCCACTGGCTCTGCGTGTTGCTTCCGCTGTAACTTGCAGTGCCTGTTATAACCATAATACACTAATTTTACGATCATTTTCATCATCCAAGACCTTTGTTTTAGAGAACTAACAAGATATAGATCGTCTTCACTGTCACGCAACAAAAAAATAAATTGGAAACCGTCCAGTGGAAGAAGCCAAGAAAATGAAATGTTTTAAAAGACTAATTTTTGATGATGATGATGATGATACCTTTATTAAAGTGTCAAAACTGTAATAGCGGTATATAACCACTAAGTGGGGACACTAAAATAAATTTAAAAAATAAATCAATTAATAAATTAATTAAAATTAACAAAAACTATGTACAGTATAAACTTTTCAATTTATCCAAGTCTCAGGTCTTTGTGGCCCAAAGTTTCTGAGTTATTTGCCGAAACGTTTCACGCACCTAATACTTGAAATGGTTATACAGCTGAAAATCAAGAGGAGAGACTTTTTTCAACGAGACCGCATTCCTATTTTGGTGTCACGGACTGTGAAAACTCGGAAGTTCAAATTGCTGTACTTTGGAAATGAAACACGCTACAGGAATGGAAACTTGTACAACGATTTACTTTTTGTTTGTCTTCAACCTAGTGTAAATGAGAAATTCGTTAAACCTTGCTATTTTGACCTTACAATTTCATGACGTCACTATGAAAACTATCTATATCTAACCATTCTGTTTACCAGGGATCGGATATGGACTGATTTACTCTTAATCACATGAGAGACCCTACCTGAGTTGTTGTCTGCGTAGACGTAGACACAGACACATAGCACTGCAGCAGATTTTCTACATGTCTTGTCACGGATGAACTGTATTCCGCGGTTCCTTGTGAGGGAAGTGGCTCTCTTTCGTCTGCAGCATCCCAGCTAACAGAAAGCTCCGATTCATCTGAACTGCTGTAGTTGTCGTCTGAAGCAGAAGCTAGCATACGCCTCCAGTGTGAAGAACTTGCCTGTCGGAGCCCTTGTACTTGTTCTGATACCAGTGGCGTTATGGTGAGGAAGTCAACTCCAAAGCGTGCCATCATGTCAATTAGACGCACAGGTTTGTCTCTTTTTCCTGCATATCTGATTGCCATAGCTCGTGCAAGCATCAGCTCTGTTGTGGTCAATCCCAAACCTTGCATCATTTTTTTGGAGGTGAAAGCAGCTATGTCACCTGCAAGAGAGTCAATGTCAAAGGTAATAATGACAACTCTGCTAGCACCAAAGAAAAATCAAACTTGGGATTCCTCAGTAATTCACCTCAGTTATTACGTCTTGTGTTTTCAATGCAGTGCCTCTGATTACCTTTTGTACAAAGTGATTATTTTGTTCTCATGAAGGGCTATTGCTGAAGACATGCAATACAATGAAATACTATACCCACGCTACATCCAGGATTTTTTTGAAGAAAAAATTGTTAAAACATGTTTTCATCATAGTGCTGTATTATTAACCCTTTAAGCACCAATATCTACATACAAATTCTCCAGACTGATCTCCATACATTTCCTTAAGAAATTAGTTGAGAGAATTTGATGAAAGATCAAAGATTTTTCTCTTTGTGATCATTTTATTAATTCTCTTAGACTGCACTTGACAATCTATGGATATGGTTAGGAGAAAATTGATGTTGGTCACTATTGGCACTTAAAGGGTTAATATTCATTACTATCATTTCTTCTCAGTTACCTGGGGACAAACTTCGAATTGCTTGGTTTGAAATGCGTGCTGCCACAGTGATGTTGCCAGGCAAGATTCCACGATGGCTGTCAATGATAAGACGACGAGGGAAACCATGTGTGAACTGTACAGCGACATCGCTCCAGTGGGGAGCATTCAAGATCATGACATTCCCAAAGAGGTCAAGGCGTACTAATTTCAAGTTGCGGTCGAATGCATCGTTGCCATATTTCAGGGTTACATCCAAGGGTTCTCCTGCGGTTAGAAACATATCCTCCTTGGACAGTTCATTTCTTCTTTCTTGCGAGTGGTCTGACTCTACCTGCTCTCTTCCACACCATTCCTCTCTTTTCTGTACATAGCGTGAACAATAATCTCTGCATGTCTGCAGGTCTTCAAATACCTTTTCTCCAGCTGCATCACCAGGAAAAAGCCCATTGGGCAAACGCAAGCTGTCATACAGAAACAAATTGAAGTTAAACTGCGTTCTCTCTTCTGGTGATACTGCCAGGCCAAGTGGGAAATACGGTATGATAATGACCGGTGCAACATTTTGGCTTGTGGATGGCTGGTTTTCACGTTGGTTGTCCAAGGCTACGTGGAGCATTGGTGGGTCCTGGGGTTGTGTTCGATCATCGATGAGTGAGTCGTCGTCACCGCTAGAGGAAAAAAAAACATGAATTGAAATGCTTAAAAGCTACTTCGGTGTCATTTCTGAATATGGGTGAATCCTTGTTTACATCTTTTGCCTCATTAGCATTGGCTCATCATTATCTCATGAAGAAATAAAATGAACTTTTTGAATATTGAAAGAGCATAACCATTTCAGTTATCTCTGACAATTTTAGCCCCATCGATATATATATATACACAATTAGCACGTTTTTTGGAGAATAACTAAGGCATGGATTATGATGATATTAACAGAGCTATAATAATAATAATAATAATAATAATAATAATGATAATCATGATAATAAAAATAATAGTAAAAAAGTGTTTCACTGCTATTTTTATTATGCTACAATATTTCTCGAACACTGAAACCAAATTAATTGGCTGCAAATTTTCAAGGGCATCATTTTAATTCTTACGATTTGACAAAAAAATATTTTAGATCTGTGAATTTTCGTGGCAATATTTAGAACCTTGAGGACTCGCCCTCACTGGAACTAAGTCCAATTACTCCTGGATTTTACTTAATTGCACAGTCATTTGGTGTTATAGACTACTGCTTTGCTTGAACAACTCCCAGCGGGTGTGTCCACGCAGAAGGGGCACCCCTTCCATGATTCAAGTATATAAAAGAAAAGAGGTGGGGGGGGGGGAACTATGATTGTGTTTTCCTCTGAATTTTTGAAAACTTTGCTAGGAAGAAAGAAAGACACCAGACATTCCCTGTCCCAATAAGTAACTCTGGAGGAGTAGATAGAATCTAATATGTGCCCACTAAATAAAATTTAATATACCTTTCCTCGTTTGGACTGTCATCTTCTTCAACGGGGCCAGCAGCACGGGAACTGCAATGTGAAAGAGTTTTCACTATGAACACGAATTAAAAATTAAGCGTGTATAGGATCCTGGAGTGTTCAAAGTGCAATGCAGAAAAAAAGAAACGAAAATAAAGTTTTCCAAATGAACACTTTACTGCGTGAATATTTTACTGCGTGTGTTTCACCTTGGCAAAAAAACAGACCACTCTACGAAAGTATTCTTGGCGTTTTCCGGGCGAAAAGTTACTAGGTTTTTTAGGGCATTTAATACCAACCTGCTGCCACTTTCCGTAGCTTGCGTTTCGATCAGCTCCGAACTCCTTGCCGGATTCGCCGCCGCTGTTTTTGTACGCTTTATTCTCGGCATCTTTGAATGACCTTAACAGTAAAAGTTGTTATGGGGAATGATTTAAAGATCCCAGCTAGGCTGTGTTTAAATAACAGTGTTTACATCATAGCTCCAAACAGATCATTACTAATCAAACTAACAGGGGTTTATTTCCTTCTCGATGAGGTAATATTTACGATCAAAGTTAGGACCCTCGAGCGAATTTTAGGAAGCTAACAGAGAAAAGAGAGAAGCTATGAACACGTAAGAACAATTATGTAATAAGGAATTCGAAAACGGCGCTGTATTAGGTCAGGTTTAATGAGTTATTCACTTCAAAACGATGCGTACGCCATGATTCACGTTTCTTCCCCACATTACATCATAGCTACAAGTTTCCAAAAATGGCACCATTGTTTCCGCGCAGATTCTGCGCCATGACAATGGATGATTGACAGCACGGGGGATTCCCTGCATTTGAGGCAACGTGACTTGTAAGACAAAAACTGTGTTTAAAAACACTCAAATTAAAAGCAATTTGTTCGAACTAATGGTTCTCTCCTTGTGTTTTCGTTAACATGGATGCGAAGGAATTAATCAACTGAAAATTCCACCCCGTCGGCTTGCAGTGAGAATGAATTATTCGTTCAATTCACGGAAAATACAACCTACCGCGTTTCTTGAGATATCCTACTCGTAGAGCTGGAAAACTGGGATAACCAAACATATTTCCTGAAAGCATTTCAAACATTTAATTGGGGTAACCGATAAAAGTTTCGCATTGTTTATGACGCATGGATTGAGGTTTCTGACCACCTTGTGACTTTGGGGAGGGGTGGGGAGGGGGGATCAGTTACCCAGGGACTTAGAAAACAGCAACAACAACAAAGACAAGAAAATAAGAAAATAAGACTGGCGTAGTTTAAGATTTTTTAAATCAAGGGTTCCCAATGTTTCGCCGCATGTCGGCTGCAAGTAAGAATGAATTTTTCCTTCAATTCACGGAAAAAAAACAACACACCGCGTTTCTTCATCTCTCTTACGCGTACAGCTGGAAAACTGGGGTAACCATATATTCTATTTCCCGAAGGCATTTTTATCATTAAATCGGGGTGACTGATAAGATAAAAGTTTCGCATTGTTCAAGGCTTCCCTATCTTCAGGGGGACCCAACGAGAATATAGTTCAAAACCACTTCAATATAGCATTGTTAAACGTATTTTAGTATTTAAACGGTAGATATAGGCATATTTTTATCCCCTAGTTCCTAGCTGAAAGTCTCGAGATCCGAAAATCATAGGGATCAAAACTTACCTTTTCGAAAATTTCAGCGAGAAAAAAGGCTCCCGAAAATTCTAGGTGAGCTTTTTAGGGTAAAAATTCGGTAAAAACGGGCTATTACACCAATTTTTAGACGTTCGAAAATCCTAGGAGAGGTAGGCAAGCAAGAAATTTTACAAAAATTGATCGGAAAATTCTAGATCTCAAATCGTCTTCCGAACAGATATTTTCCGAAAATTGACGTTGAGTGCCCCTGTATCGTTCTTCGCATGTCGGCGTCAAGTAAGAATGAATTTTGCGACAACGAAGCATTTAATTTTTGATCAGCCGGTGGAACTTACCTTGCGCGGTCAAAATTTGTACTAACTGTTAGTATGTTAAGACTGTGAAAGTTAGTATGTTTTTGAAAATATGTTGGCCTTGAAGCTATATATTTCTAAATAGTTTCCGAAGTTACGCAAGTTCTAACTGGGTCTTGTGATGTCTAAAAGGAATGTTTTTGAGAACGCGGAAACTGTTTTGCAGTTTGGAGCGTGATTCTTCAGGAGTCAAGTCCATGACGGTCAGCTGAAATACTAAAATAAGCAAGATTGAGATGGGCATGAAACTTTTTGACGGTTGACGGTCAAAAAAAAAGCAATTGCATTTTGCACGGCTGACGGTTAGATTTTTAGCACTTTGACGGCTGGCGGTTTAAGCCCATTTTCTCTCTTCATAGAGGGTACACTGGTTCTTGAGCGCATTTGTGAAAAAATTAGAAAACAAAAAAAACAAAAACAGTCTGATTTATTTTTCAATAGTATTGATCCCTCCTCCTATGCCGACCTAACTAGCCCGTAGCCGCCGAGGTGTCGTAATTAGGCGTCAGTCCCCAAGATACTCGCTATTGTTAGAGGGGGCTGAAGGGACGCGACTCGTGTTAGCGTCACTTAGCATCAGTTATAGAAAGCAACTACGCGCGCGTTGAACGTAGCACAGTTTTTGAAGATGGAATTTGGTAAGCGCGTGACTGTCGTGGAATATGACCTGACGTCTGGGTCTGATAACGACGACAGAGATGACGATCAAAGCTACATTTACTGCTCGATCGCGAGACCTCTTTCTCCGGGCAATCGATTCAGGCACGACGGTGATGCGCAGCAACCGAACGAGCAGAGTAGCGATAGCGATGACTGTCCTCCCGAGATCAAGAGAGCGCGTACCGATGACAGCTCCCGCTCCTCGACACAGTCTTCGGAGTCTAGTTCCGAGTCGGCGTCCAGTTCTAGCGACCAGGAAGAATCTGATCATTCTGAACCGTTGCCTGCAGCAACCACACCGCCCAAACTACCGCCTCCCGTCGTAATAAGCATATCATCTGATGATGACCAGCAGGAGGATGATGGAGATGAAGAACCAGAACAGCCTCTAGTCGCCCCCCTTCCTAAGCAGAGAGCAGCTTACGCGCTGCGTCTTATAGATACACAACTTTCAATGGCATCCCTTGGCTTGCCATAACAGTGTTGGATTAATAGCTGTAATCTCCTGCAGTTGTCGGGGTTATCTTTCTCTAAGCAGGTTTCAGAATTGTGCATGAACGAGACATACTTTATGGGGTCTCCATCGAATCTCATGTACTCAATCCTTGGGGCAGAAACAACTTGACGCAGTGCTTGTACTATCTCTGCTCTGCTATCTGGTGTCACCGATACTGGTTCTCGCATATAACATTCTGCTGAGACTGCACCAGTGGTGTGGGACAAGGGTACCTGAGTTGGCCATTGTGAGTACTCTTTGGTGTTAAAGTGGGTTGTTAATGGTGTCTGTACTTGTTGTGATAAATTTAGCACTGATGGATTTACAGGTGGATTTCTCAATGCTTCAGTGTCCTTTGCGTTATTCAGTTGCTCTGTATGTTTACCTGTTCCAGCTTCATCAACATAAACTGTATGCTCGGTTCCTGAGAACACTGGGTTGGGCACTGTAACGCTTGCTGATTGAAATGTCTTAGCAGGTGAATTCATGATTCTCTCATTGTCTCTTAATGTAGGCACCTGCTCGAGAGGTGCAAGCTCTTGTACTAGTTGTTCGTGTGGCTCAATTAGCTGCGACTGAGCCACATTCTGTGCCTGATTCCCATGTGGATGTAAGGTTTCCTCAGGTATAAACTCTGCTAAACGCTCCCTATACTGACTCTTCCTGCATTGATTCTCAAACTCCTCATACACATTAAGACTCGCTTTAGCCCGCTCTTCCTCCATCTTAGCCTCCAACATGTCCTCCTCAAATTGCGTTGCAACTGTTGTTCCTGCAGCACTTGCTTGGTCTTCAGTTGGGCTAGGGCAAGTTTTTCCTTTTTCTTCGCCACTGCTAATGAAGCTGAACTTGAGCCAGTTGACCCGCTTTTCGTACTCTTCCTTGACTTTCTTGGATAGGATTTTAAGTCGGAATTTCCATGTTTCAATTTCATTGTCAAATGTTGCTTTCTTTGACATCTGCTCCTTGTAGTTAGCGTCAGCCCTTTCAACGTCTTCACAACGACTAAGAACATCAAGACATTCAATGTACTCTTCATGGGTGTTCACGAATCTCCTCCAAGCT